CCCTCTTGTGTGTGTGTGTGTGTGTGTGTGTGTGTGTGTGTGTGTGTATGAAGTTTCTAAGAGAATGTTAAAAGTATACCCACAGTTGGTCACTACTTTAACCAAATCACCAAAGTTACCATCACCGGAAGTCAACTGACAACATTAAATGCCACAAACTGAAATGCCAAATGCAACAAACAGCATCACTAATTCAGTTTTCCTTGCAAAATTTTTTAACCTAAACCTACCCAAGAGGAAACAGTATTAAAATCCAGAATGTACAAACCTTAGTAAGACAATTTGCCTAAACTCTTAAAAGAAATTAGCGTCTGGGTGCATGGGCTCCGGGGAGATGGTGGTCAAACATCACATTTCAGTTAGGAGGAAAAGAGTCAAAAGATCTCCTGTACTTTGTGGTGACTACAGTTAGTAATACTATTACATCCCTGAAAACTCCCGAGAGTAGATCTGACGTGTTCTCTTCACACCCCTACACATGAAGGTAAGTGTGTAGTTCATATGTTGATTACGTTGATTTCGTTATGGCACAATGGGTGCATATATCAAAACTTCGTGTTGCATGCCATAAATCTATGAAATTTTACTTGTCAAAAAAATTTAATCTCACAAAAAATTGGTGAGTTAAGCAAATATCATGTATCATGTTAAAGAAAAAAAGTTATCATCACTGACAATGAGGCACATGGGCATCATGCACCCCCAGCAGGAGGCCCTGACAGGACCAGCATTGTTTCTGTGACACTCTTGCCAAAAATGCACACTCCTAAGCTATTCATGAGGACAAATTAGGAAAACCCAAACTGAGAGAAATTCTATGAAGTTACAGGCTAGCACTCTTCGAAACTATCAAGGCTATTAAAGACAAACAGTCACAGGAATTCTTCCCCAGATCATGAGAATAAGGAGGCACAGTAACTAAATGCAACACAAACTTCTGAACTGCATCTTCTACCAAATAAAACAAAAAAGGCACATCTGAGCAAAAACTTGTAGCACATGAATAATGTCTACAGATTAGTAATAATACATCAACTATAGTTATATAAGGATATTCATATTTGTGAAAGTTGGGTATAGGGTAGATGGAAATGCTTTATACTGTTTTTGCAACTATTTTATAAGCCTAAAATTATTTCAAAATGAAAAGTTAAAAGATACAGCTAGCTTTAATAACAACAACAAAAATTAGTTATAAGCCAGGTACGGTGATGTACACCTGTAATTGCAACACTCTGATAAGCTGAGGCAGGATGATTCCAAGGTCAAGCCCTGCCTGGGCAATGTAGTAAGACTATGTCTCAACATAAAAAAAAAAATAGTAATAATTAAAGGGGTGTATGTACATAATAATTTTATGCTCTTTAAAA